GGCTAAAATAGTACATCTGGCTAGGCAGCTTATGGCTCTGATGGGATTTGTGAGGGAGCTGCTCTGCTCCGGCCTTTCCTGCCGGAATCGGTTTCCTCCCTGCACGATTTTTGTTGGGAAGAATCCCTGGAGCGCCGCAGGATGCGCTCTGGGTGTAGCTGGTGGAACTTTTCACCTGGGCCCTCAGCGAAGGTCTGGGAGTTAATTAGGGTTTGGGTGCCTGCTGCGATGGGATCCCGGAGTTCTGCATCCCAGGAGGAGAGAGGGTTGGCTGGGAAGCACTGGGAGGGTGTTGGCTCCTCCCCGATGTGGCCCCCCCAGCCACTGGTAGATCCACATGGGCTTTTCCCAGGTTTGGGGGCTCTCTGAGGTGTTAAAGGCTTGGGAAAGTTAGCTTGGAATTCTCTTTGGCACTCGTGGCGTTCCCTGGCGTGGCCCCTGTGCTGGGATGAGCTGAGGAGGGACAACCTGGTGGGAGTGGAGCTGTCCCCAGGCAACACCATCCCAAAGCCCTGAGCCCCCCGAGGCAGAGTTTGAGCCCATCCCAGGAATGTGGCCTTAAGAGCTGAGAAAACTCCCGGTGGGAGAGAAGACCCTGTGGAAAAACCGCCCAGACCCCACCGGTGGGGGAAGAGGAGAAAAGCTGGGAATTTATTCAAGGTGTTGCGTTGCATAACATGGAATCCTGGGATTCCACGTGGCTGTGGAGCCCATCCAGCACCCACAGCTTGGAGGCATCGTCCTGCTGAGATATCCCGGTCCCTGCTCGCCTTCCTCCGGATCCATCCGACCTCGTAACGTCCGTCCTGGGATGGTGCCGACCACCCTCCTCCAGAGTCAGGCAGTGGGAGCAGAGCTGGAGCCCTCAGAGCTGGGAAATCCCTGGAATCGCGTTGAGCAGCTGCTCCCTGGCACGTGCCCTGCTTTTCCCGAGCTCTGGCCCCCCGGGAAGCAGGAATGCTGTGTGATCCCACCCTGCTCGGAGCCGCATCCCGGGAGAGGCGTCGTCTCCCTGGGCTGAAGGATTTCTCTCCGTCCTTTCCCAGCCTGCAGCTCCGGGGGACATGGGCAGGGATCAGGGAAAGTGGGAGCTTCCCTTGGGACTGAGCTCTGGAGCCTGCAGCCCCCAGCCAAGCCAGACCCCCCCGATGGGGCTTGCTTCAGTTTTCCTCCTGAGTTTTGGGATGAATCCCTTGGGTTTGGACCAGGATTCAACCTGTGTTAGGGAAGGATTCTGGATGCTCTGTGTGGGGGCACAAGGAGAGGCAGGATGAGGGTTTTCCTGGAAGCAGGATGTGCTGGATGTGGGGCCATCCCACATTAAGGATTGGGATGCAGTGGGATGCAGGATTGGGATGGAAACACATCAGGATGCAGGATTGGGATGCATTGGAATGGGGATGGGGATGCATTGGGATAAACTGGGGCACAGGGTTGGGGTTGGGATGCAGGATGGGGATGCATTGGGATAAACTGGGACACAGGGTTGGGGTTGGGATGCAGGATGGGGATGCATTGGGATAAACTGGGATACAGGTTTGGGGTTGGGATGCAATTTAGGGATGCATTGAAGTGCAGGATTGGGATGCATTGGGATAAACTGGGACAGGAGATTGGGGATGGGATGCAGGATGGGGATGCTTTAGGATAAATTGGAACACAGGATTGAGGTTGGGATGCAGGATGGGGTAGCATGGGGAGGTGTAGGATTGGAATGGGAATGCCTCAGGATGCGTAGAGAGGCATTGGGGCACGGGATTGGGATGCACTGGGATGAACTGGGGTGCAGGACTGGGGTTGGGATGTAGGATGGGGTTGCACTGGGATAAACTGGGGTGAAGGACTGGTGTTGGGGTGCATCAGGGCTGGCATGGGAATGACCAGGGATGCAGCCTTGGGATGCTCTGGGATACACTGGGGCACAGGACTGTGATTCCTGGGATTGGGATTCATGGAGGAGCAGGCTGGGGATGCACCCAGTGCTCCTCAGAGAGGAGAGAGAAGCGAAAAACCCTCCCAGTTCTGGGGAAGCCAAATTGTTTTTTTTACCCTTCTCCCTTTAAACTCATTTTTCTTCTGCTCTCCCCCAGAAAAGTCGAGCTCTTCCATACATCTCATTTTTCAGGAGGAAGAGACAGGAGGGGGTGTCCAGGTGTTATTTTCAGAGACCCCCCCTGGCCCCCACCAAGAGCCTGAGCCAGCCCAGGCTTCTCCAATAATCCTCTCAGTTACTTATTTTGGGAATGTTGGGAAAAGGGAAAGAAGCATCCAAACCTCCAGGTGAAGCCGGAGGGAAAGAAATCACGGGAATTCTCCTGGTTTAGGTGCTTTGGAAAAGGAGCAGCTTCAAAAAATAGTGACATTATTGTAATTTTTAGCCCACCTGATGTCCAGCAGAGCAGGGAATCTCCTCTCCTTCCAGCTGGGCTTGGTGGGGTGTGTTATGGAGCCCTTTGATGAGGTGATTTGGGATCTGGGTGGCCCTTAAATCCCGGAATTCCAGAAGGATTTGGGTTGGAAGGGCCCTTGAAAGGGTCATTTAGGCCAAGCCTTCGCCAGGGGCAGGGACAGGAATTTATGGAAGCTGCTGGTGGTGGGGCGGCTTTAAAAAGAGATTAAAAAAAGATACAAAGTATATATGAAAATATGCAAAGTAGGTTTAAAAGATACAAAGTATATATGTATGAAATAACAAAGCATATATAAAAATAGCAAAGTATATCTAAAATAGCAATATATATTTATAAAATATACAGAGTATATACGAAGTAACAAAGTATATATAAAATATACAAACTGTGTATAAAATAACAGTATGAAAATAACAGTGTCTAAAATAACAAAGTATGTATGAAATTTACAAAAAATGCATGATATATACAAAAATATATAAAATATGCAAAATAGATATAAAATATATATAAATATAT